ATGTACATTCACAGTCATACGAAAGATTGTTCTAAGGATTATCAACATTAACAATGATCACGTAACCTTCGGACTGGTATACAATAGCTCACTTTCTGTAACTTCTGTTAGCTAGCTATACAGCAGTGTCACAATTCGATTCTCACTAGATCTGGTTGGCTACACCGGTTGTATCATCTTAACATAATTTTGCGAATTTCCTCTTGAAATATGATTATCATTATTAATATGAAGTGATTACACAGAAGTGATAGATTTATAGATAGTTTTTTTCGTCAAAAATCGACATCAACTGAAGAACAGAGTTTTGAAGGGCTGTTTCGTCCTAGCTTGGAATTCGTCAGCTGATTCAGTAAACGAAATGTATGTCTATATATTTTTATATAACTAAATAAAATATACAATTCGACTATGGAAAAATAATGTGCATTGTTAGCGAAAACTGACTGCATTATCCTCTTTTAAAGAATAACTGTACTAAGGTTAATCGGCTCAAGATTCTATATGTACCATCTTAACAGGCTAAATATGAGGTTCCAACCATTGATAAGATCATACTGGGTTATATATATAATCTACTTTTACTTGTCCTATATCATCTGCTTAGTGTCCGATCCGACGATCACGATAACTTTAACCATATGCTTGAGAAACTGGCTAACTATATAGGGGTGAAACTCATAGCTACCCAACAACTGTGTTATCTAATCAGCGATAATCTCAAAAAGCGGAATAAAGCAAGCTGAAATGCCACAACCCTCTTCTTAAGAATGCAGATTTCTTTCAGTATTTAGAATTTTTTTTAAAAAAGAAACCTGGAACTAGAATAAAACTCGTTTTTTCCTATTACGTAAAACTTTCTTCGAGAGAGATCTAAATCTATTCTCACTCTCCCTAATCAGTACCGTAAGTTAGAAATTCACATGAAAGTACTTAAAGATTTGAAAATAGACAGTCTGGAGTGAATATGTGGCTTATTGGTTAACAGATTCTACTTACAATTAGTAGACTGTGGACTCGAAGCCCCTAACCCAGTTGCTTTACTTTGGGTAACTGGTTATTAAGTATCGTAAAACTTTATACAGAAAATGTGACTGATAGTCTAGTGCATAAACAAGTAATGGGCTAAGTTATGTAATAATTATTTAACAGACACCTGTTCCGTCCTAACCTTGAACTCTTCAGCAGTCAGTATTCAAGACCATTAAGTCTTTTGCCCAAGTCTTTACTATTGAACCGCATTATTAGAATTCAATGATCTACACTTTCTAATTTCAAGCATTCGAACAAATACTCAGTACTGACAAATGGTTAACTTCTAAGTATGCTTTTATACTTTTTCATAAGAAATTGAACGTGGAGACGGATACTTCAGTAATGATCCTAATAGATGGGTGTACTATATCATAAAATTATGGAATCTGAAGAGCGTAAACCATTCCAGTTGGGCGTTTAAATAACAATGTACTCTACCTAAGAGATGGGAGTTCTGCGACTGGTTATGTATGAGATCATGCTTGTTTACTTCTTACTAGAACGAAACAGATATACAGTGCTCTTCAGGTTTTAGCACTAATTCTCCTGCTGATGTCAGTTCATGTTGAATACTGTTCTTAGAATCAATCAATTCTCGGAAAATCACTCAGATTAACAATTTACAAGTCTATTTTAAGTAATAACCTGTTAGAAATGTCGCTGTCCCTTTTCTTTTCTGAACTTTTCATACTTTTTGAGACCTTTTCGTTAGCACCTGTTTCTCCCACTTTGCTAACTTTCAATACAACCTACTGATATTCTAACTGGCTTCTACCTCTTTTAATTTACTAACTATTCTTCATCTTTCAGGGTCATTCTACTGATGATTATCGGTATTTTAATTGTATTCAACAAACCACTCAGGTGGAAGAGTCTCCACCGTGAATTATTCTCCCAACTCTTCATCATAACATGATCACTGTGAAAGTACCTTCTCTTCTCATGAACAATATTTAAAATATGAGCTTATGAAGAAGAAAACATCATTGCTTCTCCGGATTATTCTTTCAGTAAATGAGTTCATCTTTTTAGAATATCAATATCATATCGAAGCTTTAAGCTTCGATTGTAAATGATTTGCTTTTACATGGTGAAAAAGTTCACGATATCAATTTAAGTAATATCATCTTTTTTTTTTTAGAAAGAAAAGGATTAATTAATTATCTTTCCTACAGATTTTTATCTGGTTCAGTTAAAACTGTTCCAAAATGTTACACCACTTCTAATCCTCATGAAATTATCCTAAAGATTAATTACATCTGAGTTGATGTCATCAATTGCTCCTAAGAGAAAAAAAAATCACTAAAAGTTTACAGGCTTGTAAAATTAACACCATTTTTATTTCAATAAGTATGTATATTTAATGACAGTGTCATACTTAATTTAGTTATCAATTAATTTTTGTCAAGACAAACTGCTTTGTTGTATCAGGAGGCCTGGATGTGTACGCAGATTTTATACTTAGTGTCTCTCCAGAAATTGCTTGTGTATAATGAAACCTTTATGTGTGTGATACAGATGTTAAGTGTATAGCATTAGTTATGTTACGGTTTACTCGGTGGCTAACAGCGGAATCCACGACACGTATTTCTTCCGTTTTCTACTCGTCATCTCGATGTGCCTAAATCCATATATGTGATGGTGTTCTGGTTAAGACTCATACTTAGTACCTATAGAATTGAACGCCGAATTACCACTCATTAGACCATTGAGGGACAACAATCACCTCTTTTGCAACCGGGGCCAGCTGTTGTTTATTGGTAGTGGCTAGCGTCGGAATACAGGTTCTGTGCTACACTCTCATAACTCTTAGGCCTGGTGGGTAACGCTTCTGCAACTGAAGCGATGAGTACAGGGTTCAGATCCCCGTGGAAACATCACTACTCACTGGAGTATAGGTACGTCTGGTTGACGACATATAAAGAGGACGAGACGCGCGCTCTGAATTCCGCTGCTAGCCACTGAGTAAACTATAACATAATAAATGTTCAGACAATGTCAAAGCATCCTCATAGAAGCATATATGCCAACATAGGTTGAACAGTACGATCCAGTATAGTGACGGGGTTGCAAGTACTAATAGTTATATAAGTCAGCGAGTTGGTAGCTTTGTAAAAGTTTACCTATTAAAGTTGTTACAGCATATACTGCACATACCAACAATTATCTTCTCCAGATCACAATACTAGCTGAAATATAACGACTTATGTTGAAAGCTAAGGATAACTAGATTAAAAAATGACCTTGGTTTATGAAATCATCAACTGTTCGCAGGGAAATGTAAACTTTGAGATTGGGGTCCCACGTAACAATTTGAACCCTAACCATAATCAATCACAGTCAAGCAGAAATAACTATGCCTTATCTTCATCATATTTTACTGCTTACGTTAACCACTCTCTTCTTTTTCTGATAACTCTACAACTGTCCTTTTGTCACTTTGACTATCTGAGATAGATATGGTCTGGCTGACTAATATTGATACTGAGATCATATATTAACATAGAATATTCTCAACTAAGTTATAAAATTTCCACAGACTAGTAAGATCATATTACTACGACTTATTTGCAAAAGTGAGCAAAAATTTCACTCTAACAAATTCAGTCTCAAGGCATAATTGGAAGAGTATTCAACTAGTAGTCTAGAGAGAGCTGGTTTTTAATCTTGCTGCTATCCAAGCTCTCATATCATCTTTCAATCATCATTTCGAATAAATTAGGAACAGTTAACTAAGATTCATAGTAATGATGTATGAATGCTGTTTAGTAGTTTCTCATCATTACTTATAAAATTACCAGATACTGCTTTAATTTATGCAGGAATAAATACTGAATAGTAGTTTCAGTGTAAAATTTAAAGCGATGGGCTAGGGATTCAGACAGCTGATGAATCTTGGGCAAGACGAAACATATTTTTAAAATTCCACTGGACTGTTATCGAATGCTTGCGTGCTATTAGTAAGAAACCTTGAACTCCAGTTTCATACTTGTTTTCAACCACCTTCATTTAGGTCAGTATTTTTTTGTCCCACATTAACTAGAAGCTGAAAAGAGCTGAATAACAAGTTACCATTTCTTCATTGTGTTTTCTTGATTTCTATTTCATCAGACAAGCCATTTTATCTAACAATCGTAACAAACTAACGCAGTACTATAAAGTAATTACTGATTAGACTATCTGAAATAGCCATAATTCGGGGGATTGGTGTCACTGATACAAGATGATGGTTGAAGGGGGGGGGGGAGGTGAAAACATATAGCATAAAGCTATTTGGAATTGGTTGGTGGCCTCTGATTTACTGGCTCGATGCTGTAGAAACTAAGCTTCAGGAATCAGTTGGTAACCGGTTTCCGACTTCAATCATGGTAAACAGCTATTATCACACTAGCCTACGAGACAGATTTCTTCGTCTAAATTCAAAACGAGCTTAACTAGCAGTAATCAATGGTATCCGAGTATAACTTTCAGTGGCTTGAGTTAAGACCTAGTCAGCGACTAGGTCTTGTAGCTGAATTATCACACTACCTAGCTGGTAGTAAAGAGACTGATGATTATGAATTGTATTATGAACCAGATTTTCATTTCACATACATTCATCCCCATGTATCATTAATTATTCAGTTGGCATTGCAAAAAGTGAAATTTTTTTGATATCAATTCAGTTTGCCTCAATAGCAACGTGCACACCATGAAACCTGATGACTTTAGGGGCGAGGATGAATACCACTGAGATGTCCCACATTGAGACGAAATAGCTGGCCAGTGCTCCCAGGTTTTCAGTAGTTTCCCAACTCATATCACTACATGCTGAACATTCCCTTGAAAACTATATATTAGATTGTTTGTTTAAATTTAACAAATACTTATGGTGGTTTATTTGAATAGGTTATGTTTACCAATGCAGATGTTGTATAAATCTGTATTCAGTTGGTTTTTAATTATTTTTATCTAAAAATATTTAGATCGACCTGTTCCACAGAAATGTACACTTAGAAAACATAAACCAAATCGTCGACCAAGAACTCCGTTCACTACTCAACAGTTATTAGCATTGGAAAGAAAATTTCGTCAGAAACAATATTTATCTATTGCTGGTAAGTTGGTTTACTTGTTGCTTAAACAATTCTGATGCTTCTTTTTTATCCAAGGTATTAATAACAAGAAAAAAGTCAGTTCCGACCACTTGAATTCCACATTGTCATCTATTGGGGCATTCAGTTATGATGCCCATCGTGTTTTCCATAGATTCTCTACCTTTATAAATCTTGGAGTCTTACTAGAAATATAGACAGTCATTTGCATGCAAGTAGCCACTCAAGTGACACATTCCAAACAGAGTTTGTGGAACTAAAGTATGCACACAAAAGCGGGTTTCGTAAAAGGGGTTAGCCAATTTGATTGTGCAGATCAAGGAATTCAGCGACACAAACTCGAATAGTAACTCCAGTTCATACTTTAGTTCTTCAAGGATCATTAATGTTATGGACAGCTCAGTGGTATAAACCCTAACTCTGGTACTTAGTAACAATTATTCAAATCAACGAGTTAACAACACTTTCAGCATGGTTCCAGGCACGTCTTGATGATGATTATGAAAAAGCAGAAAACTCAGGTTGAATAGAGATTCCTGTTGACTGATTCCAAACATCTGACACCAAAGTGAAATGCAGTGTGGTATCATATCACCTAACTCAGTGATTATATTCTAAGTTTAATCCACAAGTTTTGGTCAGTGCTTAGAACAAATGACTAGATAGTTACATCGGTTTCTTTTTACTACCAGATTCGTCAGCTTGTAACCATTTTTAGCATATTTACTTGGTTGTGGTTAGAAAAGGAACACAGGACGCGTATTTTGTCCTATTTGGGCTCGTCAGTTGGATGTGCCTGCACCTCAGCGAGTGATTTCGCTCCTACTGGGGCTCGAACAGTAGTTCATTTTTTCAATATGTCATCACACTCACCTAGAATTACTGACAATAACGTGAAGTCAGTCAAGTCGAACATGAGGACAGTTACTCAATGACACAACTGGATGGAGATCGTGCTACGTCATGAACTGGCAGAAGTAGAAATATTGACCATAGGATTGCGACTCATTGGCTCAATGTTGATGTGCTGGCCACAGAACCTGGAGGTCATGGGTTCGATCCCTGGAGGGGTCGTGGGTGCTCAGTGCTGAGGGGTCCCATAATAGGAGGAAACATCTGCTCAGTGCCCCCAGGTTTCTAAAGTTCCTCCAACTGATATCCAGTCCATGATGAACTCTAACCTAAAATCAATTGACAAATCTTCACAAGCCTCTAAATAGAAATAAAGTGAAGGTTTTATTTCGAAGTTTTCAAACGTGGTGTTTTACTCTCCCACTTATATTTAAATTCGTTTAAAAATGCTGGTAAACAGGTTGAGTAACTCAGAACCGATTCGATCAGAAGATTTTGTTAGCTAGATTCGAAGGATTTCAGTACTCAACGATCCGAGCCATTCCACTATGAAAATTATCCCCATACACAGGGATGCTTGTATACAACTTACAAGTGAGTAACGCATGAAATGATAAACAGGCTAGATCAAGTCAGGTGTCTAAATTCTGTTTATCAGTCTGACTATCTGAGATAGGCGTGATTTGGCAGACTCTTACTGATAATCGGTGATGATTGAAGGTGAGATGAAAATCTGGGCAGCCGCAGGATTCGGACCATTGACTTCTAGTTTACCTTCCCTAGACCCGGGTCTCGTAGCTCAGTTGATAGAGCACTGGGCCGGTAACCCGGAGGTCACTGATTTGAATCCTGCTGCAGCCCAGATTTTCATTTCACCTTCAATCACAGCGCAGAATCAGTCTCAGATATTCAAAATCGTCAACAAGATTTAGACATACCATGGATAGTGGCTAGCAGTGGAATCCATGAAGCGGCTTTCATCCTATTTGGGACTAGTCAGCTTCATGTACCTGTCTTCCACTGAATGGTATTATTCCTACTAGAACTCAAACTCAGGAGCGATGGCTTCAAACGGTAGGGCGTTATCCACTAGACCAGAGTCACGGTAGCTGATTATTGCGTGATAGGTATGGTTTTTTATGCTCATGACTGTATTATCCCGTCGTTGACTAGACCGAATTGATTGGTCGTTATTGGCCTATGGGCTCCCCATGAAAACCTCGATATTGTCTATCGTTTCATTTTTAATGATGGGCAGAAACCCATGTGCCAATAGAGACCGATCAATTCGATTTAGTCAACGACGAGATAATACAAGCAACAACATTATAATTTAGTTGACTGTATATTTCAGTGTTTCTATCCTGTTACATTAGCTCAGTAGATGTACTTTCTACATAAATGTTTGATCTAGCATTTATTTCATATTTCGGCTAAAGACAGAAATGGATGCTTGTATGAGCAGCAGTCATCTAGCGTACAACCCTTTTAATCTATTTATACCCAGACCAATCGTCTAACCTTTTACAAAATATTGTTCATCATTAGATAAATTTGTTAAACCTCTTTACAATTGATTTTCTATGTCTGTTTTCCCTTCACGATTAAAATTGACTTTATGTCAACATTAACTAACTGAGTAGTAATCATCAGTTTATTAAAAAAATTATTCAAAATGAACTCTAATCAAGGCAAGTTAATGTGATTTATGCTCGCTTTTTAATAATCGATAATCGATAATGAGTAGGTTATTATCTTTCAGTAATTACTGTTTATTAATAAGCCACACACACACACACACAGAGGATTGATAGTCCACATAACATCAATATACTGTAAATATCTACGACAAGTAAATATGATTACCACTTATAAACGTAAATAAATTGGGCTTTTTTTCCAAAAAAGCACATTTGTTTTGTACTTATCAATTAGAACAATACTCAGTTTTAAAAAATAAAACTATTTCTTTTAATAGCTAATGTATCCCCTATCAATTAGGGGGTGGGTGTAATATCTATCCTTGTTCAGCAAAGATATGCCCCATTACCTCCCCACTCCCCTTCCCTGTCCTACCGACTGTTGTTGACCTTCTTTCGTAAATTGATTTTTTTTAGAAAGGTGAAACATCCTTTTCAGTACTTGTAAAATTAGGTCAAATATCTATAGTAATGATGGGCAATGGCTAGCAGTGGAATCTAGGATGTGCATTTCATCCTATTTGGGACTTGTCAGCTGGATGTCTAAGCCAAATAGTTGATATATTAGCTATTACGTGGATGAAGAGAATGAAACAATCAACTTGAGGGATCAGAGGTTACATTGTCCAAGATGACTAACATACGCTTTGTAATAATATACATTGGGTTTCAGTCAATCTCTATGTAATTTACTAGTTAGGAGTGGAGTCTACGACACTTGGTGGTCAGCAGTGGGAACCGGGATATGTGTTTATTTCTGTTTGAGATTTGTCAGCTGGACATACTGGCACCCCAGTGAATGGTGGTGTTCCCATTGAAATTTAAACTTTATACCCATCACTTCAAACATCAAATCATCATCCACTAGGTCAATGAGGCATCAGTTGTAATTCCCCACTGTTCTACAGGGTTGAATTGCTCAACGTCTGCTGGTAGATAGGCTCCTTCCTATATAGATGTCATAATACTATCTGAATATTAATTATGCTGTGGTTTACTTGAGGAAAGGACTGTAAGCGTATTGATGATACCTACTCTGTGGCGTTGGCATGACAGCAGTAACCGTTGAACTGATCCAGTCATCCTTAAGTAGTTCATAATTACTACGTAATTTATCTCATTTTCCCATTTTCTCTACTTCATGAACTTCTTGTCATTGTGATTAACATTTACTAGGCATGGATTTTTCAGATGGAAAGAGAGAAAACTAACCAACACACTTTAGTATATTCAGACAATCCTAAAGGATACTTCCAGAGAGCGACTGTACTCGACAAATATAAAACGGGTCAGATTTAGAAAAACAAAAAGATTGTTGACCACCAGCGTAAGTGACGTTACTTAAGCAGCTTGTTGAGGAACTATACAATTTATGCATTCAACATTTGACAGAAAATCAACTTACTCATGTATCAGCAAATCATGCTTTGTTTTAAGTCGACGGTAATCAATATTACTAACACAACTGGCAGTAAACTAACAACCCAGTGATTTGCTTATAAATTATTCAGGCTGTTCTACAGACGAATAGAATAGTGACTGCATTTTACAGAAATAGAACATTTTCAGTCTTTTTTTACTGTCTAAAGCATTTCAGTTAGTTTCTGACTCCAATTTGTGAAACACTAAGAGATTAAATTTCAATTTGAAGTCTATTAGTGTAGAGCAAGGGGTACATAATTAACCGTTCTGATTAATACAGTTGTGGGTAGGCATCTAATCTTTTGTAGACTGCTGGCTAGAAATATTTTACCTGACGACAAGCATCCACTGCATATTCACCTCTCTCCATGTCTGTCCTCTGGGAAGAAAAGGAGCAAATATATTAAATTTTGAGGGAGTTGTGGAGATTTGGAAATATTTCAAGTTGTTATTCATCGTAGACTGACAGCAGTTGGAGGAACAAAGGAAACCTGGGAGCACTGGAGAGCTATTCCGTCATAGTATGGGACTTCTCAACAGTGCGCACCCACGACCTTCAGGTTCTGCGGCCAGCGCGTTACCATTGAACCACTGGGTCAGAATCCATATCGTGAGGTGACAGAAGTTGGAAATATGGAGCATTGGATTCTGACCCAGTGTCTCAATGGTAACGCGCTGGCCGTGGAACCTGAAGGTCGTGGGTGCGCACTGTTGAGGAGTCCCATACCAGGACGAAACAGCTGTTTAGTGCTCCCAGGTTTCCTTTGTTCCTCCAAATGATGTCAGTCTACGATGAATAACAACTTCAAATATATTAAACTCCATGCAAGCACAACTATACATAAAGATTTAACCATACCACCTTATATAGCTTGTGTACTGTTTAAAGAATATCATATTAGACATAGTGTAGCCAATCAACTTTACAACAGGAAACAGTTTCTGTGACCCTGAAGTCATTAAGCATTTCAACAATCCAGTTATTCTTTATCATGCATTATTAATATTTATGTGGAAAATACTGTATAA